TCAACAACGCTCACCGTTTTTTTTTGCCAAGAGAGGTCATTTGGTCGCATTGAATTTTGCAAGTTGTCCCTTCTTTTTGGAATCTCAGGTTCGATTTTGATCAATTTTGCTACTGCAAGATTAGGTTTTCCATTTAGTTTTTCACTCACTCAAAATGCTCTTGAAAAAGCGAATAATTCATAGACTGTTGAGAAGTAGTTATCAAACATTAAAGATCATTAGTAATGTTATTTTTATTGGATGTTTTGAATTTTCCTGCGCCATTATCAATATTTGTTCTTCAATTGTTGTAATTAACCTTTCCACTAGGCCTGACCTTCCATGATTGCTCAAATGGCCAATTCTACAATTTATGTTTTGTTCATGGCAGAATTCACGAAATTATTTTGAAAACAAACATGTTTCTATTTCCGTTCAAATGGATCTTGGCCTTCTATGTGGTACTATGTGATTTCGAAGAAAACTTTTTACAGGTCTAGTTGATTAGCTGAAAATTTTTTCGGCCGACGGGGATTTGGACATTCTATCCACGCACAATCGGGTGTTTTTTATCCCCATGTTATCCGAAGTGCGACAGAAAAATCTGTATTTTTTATTCTCTATTTGATTATATAAGGGCAGTTTGCTAAGGTCCAATAGTGGCTTAATGATTTCAATTTGTTATCTGCTTTCACACATTGTCTGCACTTCTGGTGGATCAGTTTGTTTTCCTGCTGTATCATCGGCCACCAGATATTTTGTTTCACATTATGTTTTTGCAATTAGGCCCGAGTACGCCTCTTGAAAGCGCTGCCTAGTCACAGTTCGCAGACAGTACCGTGAATGATTTAAGAGCTCATCCTAAATACCGGAACTAATAGACTGGGAGTTCTAGGACACCAAGTTTCTCGACTTTCAAATCAGATAACAATGACCAGTAGTCGAAACTGATTTTAATAAAGAGTTCTGGAATTGTAAACATACAATTTGTGAATCTCATTCGAAGCTTAGGTCATACGACAAAAAAGCAGTTTCGAAGTGAAAGAACATTTCGAATGTGACCAGTTATTTTGGCTTTGACACTAATGATGAAATAACATAAAATGCACAAAGTTAACAACTATCGTCAAGGTCATCTCATGACTATCCAGTTGAAGTGATCAAAGGCATCAATGATACAAGTTGCCTTATCCAGCTAGTGAGGTACTCCAGTCCCCTAATTTAAAAAAATTTAAAAGTGTACTTTTTAGAGTTTTCTAATAGATATATAAATGAGTCACTCTTTTCTATTTTCCGATATCCATTTCTCCATTCTTTCGTTTAGACACTTGAGTTGACAGCCCCCGTTTATTGGTTTGTCGTTTCTGGGAATTCCCTCGTCTTTGCTTGATTAGTCCGATTCTATCTCGTACATATTCCTGCGCAGTATCATAGGCGGATGGAGTGCGTGATTCTATAGTTTTAGTCTCCATACTGAGCACCCGAGACTCTTGTTTTTGTCAATTTTTTTCTCGCACTTCTAGTTGGCCTTGGTCTGCCGTAGATACTGCATGCGTTCCATCTTCGAATCGAATTGATCATAGCTCAATTGAGTGGACCGCATAATCTTTTTCAATATTTCCTGCAATAAAACGATCCGGGATTTTTGTCGTATATTCAAACTTGAGTTTATTCTGCTCTTCTGCCTCTGCGTGCGTGATTTTGAGGTTGCCGGATGTGGTTGAGGTCTCTCTCAGTTAAACCTTTTTCGCTTTCTGTAACGTCACTAATCTTAACGGGGCTGGTGTCCACTTCCAATGCTGGCGGAGAATTTGCATCTTTTCTTAAATCCACTACCTTCCGATGATATGTTGTCCGTATACTAGTCGGTGTTTTAAATGTGAATGGTTGGTTCTTGTCTAATAAGGATCGTGGTAGCTTATTGTCCGTTTGCCTCGCGTTGGACCCCAATTGATTTTTCCACTGTTCGTCTTCTTCCATTCGATGACGATTTTTTTGTTGTCGAACCGGTGATCTTTTACCAATCATGATGCTTCCGGTAAATTAGGACCAGCCAGTACAGCATTCCAGTCGCCCTCGAGGTCTTTTTGTTGCGTCCGCGCACCTCTTTCCGCACTAGATTCAAGTGGGATGGTTGAATACGATGCTTTGGAGTTTCAGATGGATCATGGATATCCCTCGTCAGAACCACGAAGGGCTTGTGAATTGAACAATACACGCAAAAGGATTCTTTCAGTTCTTCTTTCAAACACCCCAGTCAGCTTTTAATTAATTTGACTAACAGCTCGACCAATTTTGTACTACGGTGGTTATTGGCTGTCGCTACTAATGAATCGTTATTGTTAATTTAGCAATGCTCCGTTATCGTTTTTCCTGCAAGGAGAGATGCGTGGTCGACGCCGATCGCTTCTGGAGTTCCGTGTAACTCCTGATGTCTTAAAAGTTTGATGGTATTATTGGCGTTGTTCAAGAAGTTTACCGTCGGGAATTTTCAGAACCGATCATTGGCCAGTAGGATATACACTTCATTTCCTTTTTCATTATTTCTAGGACCTGCAAAATCTACTTTTTTTATTTAATTGATTCACTAAATTTCTTTAGTGGTTACTAATCTACATTGGTAATCAATGGTTTTAGATTCTTATCAAGTGTAGAGCAAGGCTTTTTGGCGAGAATGCAGCCTCTGAGTTCCATCAGTGTCCTGTCTCGGATTGTTAATGCGGCTATCAGTTTTCTGTTGAAGATCCGTGACAGTTTTGCTTATAAATTTACTGTCGATGTCACCTGTACCGTTGTGTCCGACTCCGTGTCTGTTGGGATTAGTAAAACATCTCAATCTCGGTTTAGTTCTCCCTCTGAGCTTTTGTCAGCCACTTGGCTGTATTCAGCAATTAAGTTGACTGTTGGACGATCGATTAAAATCCGAATACGAGCTTGTTTTGGCCGACTGCCAAAGTAGAGAGCTGCTCTATTCCTTTTATTGCGATCTCTCTATCGTCATTTGTTGAGTGAAGTTGTTTTTAACGATTTTTCTCGTTTTTGGTTCTGTCGTAGCGAATATTTCTGAACTTTGACTAGTTTTGTGCAGCCTAGTTGTGCAATAAGAATTTCCCTACTGGATATATAGAGTGAGTACGCTATCGATTTGTCCGAAATGGGTTGATCAATTACGTTCGTGCTCTCGATCAATTTAAAAGATTCAGATTATACTGGAATGCTCTTTTGCGAATGTTTGCTCAGTTTTTCGATTAAGTCGTTCGTTATGAGATCAAGTTGGCTACAACCATTTATTTATTGTTTTCAGATAGCTTAGGGGCTTTCTTTCTGTAGAGGATTATTTTTACAAACAATGAACGAAACCCATTTTGGAACGAACCGGCTTTTAGTTCCACTTCGAAGTCAAACCGAAGTGATAAATATATCCATCTTGACAATCTCGATCGATAGGTTTTATTTGACCGGTGTGATTTAAGTATACTAAGCAACGCCAGATGACCTGTCACGAATGTTGGTCGTTTTTCGTATAGGTAAGTTAGAAAACGTTCAATAAACAGTTCTACGCTTAGTAGTTCTAACAATGTTGCAAAAAAATCACCAAACTAGAGTTTTTTTGCCTGAGAAGCTCAGAAAAGTAAATCATCAACAAAATTGTGAGAAATCAAACGTGCAAAAGAAGTTCCGATTTTTAAAAAATCCATCCTTTCTACCCATCTCTTCTTCAACATCAACTTCTGTTATTACTTTTCGCTGCTATATGTGAAAAATTTCCTCAAAAAACAGTTTAAAAGACGAACTTAGTCATTGAGTTCTCCTAAAATAATCTGTTGAAATTTTGGAAAATGTTGCCCAAAAAATTAGGCGCTTTTCTCCTCCGCTCACTTACAATTTTTATTTGTGACAAAGACGCTCTCAGAAAAGTAAATAAGGGTAAAACGCTCAAAAGTTTAGTTTCCAAAACAGCTTTACAGGGGAACCGAAGATGGGGAACAACTTTTCCTGCAAGGAACAGCTTTACAGGGGAACAGTTTTACAGGGGGTGATGACGGATCTGAGTCCATGTCATATCTGCATCTGCCTAAAAAACTATAAAATCATTGCTGAAATTACCACCCTTTTGCTACCCTAAAAACCAATTTCAAGCAAAAAAAAATTTTTACAAATCAATTCTTCATTTTGACACACCTAAGTTGTCTTCCAAACATTTTGATTGTCATAAATAAATTATATATAAACTGCAGTTTCTTATGAACGGATTTTTTTTGTAAAGAAAATTTTTTGTATAAAAATTTCTTCACAAAACTCACTACAAATGAGTAAGTCACTATAAAATTTTTTTATTTAGATTCTAATTAAGTGTTTATATAAAACCAATATGTATATAAAACTACTCGAGCTTGAATATTCCGTAATTTTCTTCGAAAATAGTCGAAACAAAAACCGTTGAAGAGTTTTTGCTTAGTAAAAGTCAGAGTTATCAATAGTTTGTATCAAACCAGAAGATCTGTAAAACGCGGCAAGTTTTGAGAAGTAGGTTGATACTGGACCTAAGATTATCATGTGTACTAATGTTACTATGCAAAAACTCTTCAACGGTTTTTGTTCCGATTATTTTTGACGAAAATGACGGAATTTTATGCTCGGGTGGTTTTTTTCTCCAGACAAAATTCGACATCTTAACTATTTAACGATTGAAACAGTCTAGTTGCCATAACTGCTACGTTGCCAGGAGCAAAATCTATCACTTAAAACGACGCGTGGTGAATAATTTTTAAAAAATCTCAAAGTTTTTTGTTTTTTATTTTTTGAAAAATTGATCAGTTTTTAGAAAACGAACTGCTCCTTAGACCTTAAAAGGCAGTCGGAACTTTCAGAGCTTCGCTCTGACTTTAGCAGTCTTGTTTTAAGTTTAACTCAAGCATGTAAACGATCTAGTTTTTGTATGCTCAAATTAAGTTCAGCTTTATTGTGTACTAATTTGAACTTAAAAGTTTGGAACTACATTGTTAGTTAATAAAGTCTGAAGCAAGCAATCCAATATGACTTATATACGAATCAAATTTTAATTCTTCATAATACAAACTTAAAAATATACACAAAAAAGATACACAAAAAAGTCATCATTGATATAGGATAGAACAACGAGTATAAAAATAAGTTCTGTTAGACAGTCCAAGTCCATTAGACCTAAACTAATTCAGTTCTTTTTCTTTTTTTGTTCAGATTTAGTTCGCTTATTTTCCTTTCTGTTCATATCTTTTCTTTATTTGTTCACACATCTTCACCTCCTATCGTCGCCATATGTGAGAGCGATCATCTGGTCTGTCAGGGGCAGGTCCAGGCTGAAATTATGGGAGATGGCAGCGAAGCAGGACAACACAGCCTTCATTGCTCTCTTGGCCTTGTCATTCCTGTCACAAATCTGCATCATTTTCTGCACGTCCTGAAGCGAGTACAAAATCGAAATCTTCAATCGAGGAAACACAAGAATTGGGGATGACGCAAGAAGATAACACAAGGATGACACAGGAGTACAAAATTTTATTTCTGACAATTAAAAACAGATTACCGGCAGATTTAAAAATTGAAGCGAGTTTAAAATCGAAATCTTCAATAGAAGAATTACAAGAATTGGGGATGACGCATGAAGATAACACAAGGATGACACAGGAGTACAAAGTTTTTTTTGACAATTAAAAACAGATTACCGGCAGATTTAAAAACTGTTATTTAAAATTTTAGCATTTAGGTAGAGAGCATTTAGTTAATTATATTTACTGTCAGAATTTTAATTTTTTTTTATATAAACTTCTGTTTCGAGGGTAGCGCTCAATTTGTATTTCTAATAGAGTTTCTTTTTGTTAAAAATCCTTTAAGTCATATACAAAAATCGAAAACGCTCCTCTTGTTTTAGTGTTTTGATGTTTTGAGGAAAATGGTCAGCCAATGCAAGATTCATGTTCATCTTGATAAGTAATAACAAAAAAGGGTCAACAGTTTTTCTGAGTGAAATGCAGATCGATTTTCAAAACGTATGATTTAGGTAATTGAATTACGTTTTCTGAGCTTGTTGAGGCAAAGCCCAACTTTGTCCCAAATGATTTTTTTTTAATTATGGACAGTTTTGACACCCTCACAATTAATATTTACTAGCGCCCAAGGCGTCTCTAAATTCATTTTAAGGATACTTGATCAAAAAGAGAATCAAAAAGCGGCTGTTCAAACAGTAAGGGTTTCCAAATCTTAGAAGGGGCAAACACTCTTTGCCTTGAATTCGCAATTCGCTAATATGCTAAAAAACCAGGATCATGTTAACATCCTCCCCCCCCCCTCCCCCCCATCCACCAAATAGACCAAGTTATGATCCTGCACCCCAGAGCTTAATATAATATAAATTGAATTTGCTAAGCACTGCATGTAAAATGCTCGATTTGGCTGAAAAACCCTCAATTTAGAACCAAGTTAACATCCTCCCTCCCAAACGGCTTTGAGGGGGGGGGGATGGGGGGATGTTAACTTGGTCCAAAAACCATGTATAACATGAAAGATTCTACTCCATTTTAATTCTCCAGTTTAGAAACTTATTGGAAACTACATTTCACCGGTATATTTTCAATAACCTTATCAAGAAGAGAACTAAAGGCTAACCGTAAGTTTGACCTTTGACCCCACTTGAAGAGTTTTGATGGAGTAGTAGAGGGCTTTGGCCTGAGTCTCCTTGTACACAGTATTCACTGTCCCCGAATTGATACTTCGGGGGTTTTCTGGATCGGAGGGGGGCGAATCACCCCCATTAGATCGACCGAATGGGAAGTACGCTGGCAAGAAATGTTGAGTGTTGATCCTTCGCAAGCTGAGAGCTAGTCGGTGCTCATCTAAAATATATATACAATATACATGCGTAGAAACTAATTCAGGATCTTATTAACATAATCCCCCTTTCAAGAAACATAGGAGATTGTTAAGTAGATTACTTAAGTCGAAACTTCGCAAAATTTGAATGCAGCAAAATTAGAACTCTCAAGAGAAAGCTCCTGTGCTAGCTTACTGCTTTTATTTACGGGTGGGGAGATTTTTCAGTAGATACCATACCATAGGAGGGGGGACCATACCATAGGAGGGGGGAAGGTTGGGGGTTGTTAAGTAGATCTCTAATTGTTTTATGTTTTAGTACTTAACAATTTCATAAGACAAATTCTCAAGGATCAAAAAAGAGTGATACCAATTATTCCTGATTTGAGAGTGCCAGATGTCATGTTACAAAAGTAGAAAAATAATTCAACTCATTGCACCTTTTTTGACTTATTTTTCAAGAAGTTTTCAACTATTTCATGGAAAAAACGGCACGCAGAAAAGTTTTTGGGACATTAAAAAAGCTCAAGGCAGTTTTCTATGAAACATCCAAAGTAGTTTTTCATGAACCATCTGTTTTAAATAAGTTTGAGTGCTTTTTTATTATTCATTAAAATTGAACGATAGACCAGCTGAGCTGTCAAAATTAGCCTTCTTTCTTTGTTTATAACTATCATGCAAAACATCTGTGCGTAGGTTAGTAAAGTTAACATATATATGAAAGAAAAAATGAATCACATAAAACTCCTTTTGATCAACCGTTTTGACTCTTACATAAAAGACTGAACTGAAAAAAAAAACGACAGCAATTGTAGTTATATTCGTATCGTTTTTTAAAAAAGTTAACTAGTTAATTATGGCAAACTTTAGCTTCGCTCACGTTTAGAATGAGCAAAAAATGATCAAAAAGAAGTCAAAAGGTTCAAATTATGGTTAATAAGTAAATTTAAAATTTGTATCTTTTTCCGAGTGAACGGACAACAAAGGCATCAAAAGTATAAACAATAAACAAAAAGAGATCAAAAATTAAAACCAATCTACCCCTGATGATCAACTAATTTGCTATCTTGGCAAAAACATGGCGACATAGATCAGATCGTACTGAAAACAGTTTAAAACTAGAAAAGCCGGTTGCTGTGCAAGTATCAGAGATGGTTCCGACTATCTTCAAAAAAATAAAACTACAAAAAAAACATGCTAAATATTAATTTTGTACGACTCAAAATTTCACACTTGATCTTTGATATTGTCCAAAGCTTATGGTTTTTCAATAATTTCTTTTCCCAAAAACTATTCGATATGGATTAAGGGGCAGTCGGAACATTCAGGGCTTTGTCCTGATATAGGAGCACTCTTGTTTAATTCAACAATCGAAATAATTGACTCGCTCAAATTATTCATTGTGAAAAAAGAAAGTGAGATGCAAAGGTTTTAGCAAAAGCAAATCAATTCATATGTTCTTTCGACGTAGGTCGCACAATTCTGCGTTTTTATTCCGACTTTCGATAAAAGGGTGAAGTATATGTGCTCGCTGTTGTTTTTTTTCCTTCAGACAAAACTCCGATGTTCAAGTAATCACGTTTGAATACAGTTTTCATACCATCTGAAAAGTTTCTGAGCTGAAATTTAAAAAAGATGTTTTAACTCTGACCTTTTTTGTGTAATGCAGTGACGGCTTGAAAAAGACCAGTTTGGCTAATTTTGGACAATTTACGCGAGATATACTTCTTTCTATTAAAACGTAAGCGGCTATTTATTCTTGCTCAGAACTCCTTCTAAATTGATTTGAGGCACAAAGACGCCAAATACATAATTTTGAACTTAACATAACCTTTGAGGGAAATATTCGTATTCGCATGTTTTTTATACTATAATCCGTACCTCAAAGTCTTGATTTGTTATTTCAATCATTACTTAGCATGTTCGCAGCCATTTTTTTTACAATAAGATGAGAATATTTATACAAAGCTGAGAAAAATTGACATTTACCGGAAAGTGAGGGTCCGTTTTGTGAGGAGGAATGGCGGTTGCTCCTTCGTTTTCTCAGTAGGTTTGCACGAAGGCCGGATGCAGGAGTTGATTCGGTAGTTGATGTTATTGTTGTCGTCGTCGATCCATCGTTGCTGTATGGACTGGTCACAATGCATTCGTTCTCTCTATCACTAGTCACTGTGGTTTCTTCTGCCGCTTCTTTATCATCAGACTAAAACCAAATGTTAAATGATCCGGGTAAAAATACTACACAAAAATCGCCCAAACTGACCAAAGTTAGATACATTTTCTGAACAAGGCACAATTATTTAACCAAAAAAACAACATTAATTTTTAAACATACAGAATGCTCAGACACAAAAAACAACATAGCTCACTTGTAACGCCATTTTGTAGTGATCCTTTTTGCTTAAATTTTTCTATTGCAACTATTTGATTCCAGATGAATTTTTCGATTCACTCTTTTTAAAACGCTACTTATAGTGGAATTTGCTACTCATTGATTTATCCTTTAAATATATTCCAAATCAATATTCCTTCAATTTATCTAGAGATCTAAAACAGACTAGCCGTCAGAAAATTAAATTTTGAATTAGTATAAGCTAACCAATTGGTTTGAGGTGTCCATTCTGTGCTCCGAGTTGGACTCGGGTTCATCCAATGTAGGAAAAGACACCTGATGATGTCGTGATTGTAGATTGGAGTTCCTGCCAGTCATTTTGTTCACGTCCAGGCCCTCAAGAGACCCCTCACCTGAAGGACTCCCGGAAATGGAATCCAAAGTGGCCGCTAGAATCTTCTCGAAGACTGAAGAAGGGCTGGACTTTCTGTTGTTCTTGTTGATGTTGTGGGGTCTCATACTGATCGAACTAGTATCTTGTAGTTCCATTTCGGGAAAGAGAGAGGAGCTGGAATTGGTGTTTGTGCTCATTCTTCTAAGGTAATTTTCCAGCTTTCAGCTAAATAAACATATTTTTGAATCATTTGTCATTATTTTCACTCAAAGTATTATTTCTTTATTGTTTGTTCTATTATTTCGACTACAGAAATCCAGAAGCGAGAACTTTTCTTAAGGGAAGGCGGTCTTTTTTCAAAATGCACCAAAGATCCCGTTTTTTGGGACGCGTTCCTCCTCAGAAAATTATATTCAATTAAACTCTTTTGATTAAATTTTTCTTAGCTCAGTTTTCTCATTTAGTAAAGAAAGTTGAAGTGAAAATGTAGATATATCACTTTTTTGAAAAGACCGGCTTTTACCCTCATACTGCTAGGCACAGTCTTAACTAGAAGAAATCATAAGTGCTTACCATCCACGGGGTGTTTCGCAGAATTTAGTAAAAGTTAATAGGATTATCCAATCAGAAAAGAGAAATAACTCATATTCTATTAAGCAAAAAATAAACTAAATCAAACAAATAAATCAAAAAGCAGCACTTTGTTTCATTGTAAATTGATTCAGTTAATTTTAGGGAAGAATTTCCGAGAAAATTTTTAATTTCGCAGCTTTCAAATTATTTTACAGCAGGGGTCAATATTAAAGGTAACAATTAGTTTTTGCTGATGTCTGAGTCTGACCTAATCATCCAAACCAGTACATGACAGACATATTCATAATAAGATGTTCAGAATTAAGCTGCACGAACTGATTTAACAAAAAATGCCAGTGTAATATATACTAAGCAGAAGTTTCATTCAGATGTTTTAATTCTATAATTTATAGCTTATTAATTTACCATCTTTAGTCTATAGCTCAAATTGACCATTTTTTATCATTCGCTTTTTGTGCTTCTGCACGAGAAGTAAAGCTCTCTATAGCCATTTACTCTTTTTGATAATCTGACAGTTTGCAGAAAAACTTGCAGAGTTGAGGCTTTCATCAGCAAATTAAGACAGTGTTGTTGTTGTTATTCCGATCTCAATAACAAAAATGTTGCCAAAAACAGGCCGAAAACAGGCCGAAAACTACAAATTTGCCTGCCACCATTTAAAATCAAAAAAGCAGAACAAAAAATGTCATGCATTGCCCTTAGTAACGAACATCAGTGAGGAATATAGGTGTTTCTCAAGTAGCAGAATTTTTTTCTTCAAAAAAAATCTAAATTTCAACAAACATTTTCAACCCTGAAAAATCCCTAGGTTGCTCAATAAATATGCGCAGCAAGCGAATTTTCGCAAAAAAAACTCTTTTGATGGCTCAAAATGCTTTTGAGCCATTTTTGGAATGTTTTGATCGAACCGCATCTTTTTTGCGCGCTCCACACTAAAAATTAGTACAACTGGAACTGATAATTATGGGGTTCTTCAATGTAAAACGAACGTTGTACGAACAGTGGTACCATAAAGGGGTTTTGAGTATGAGAAGAAAGGTGTCCATCCCTTCTCCGCCTCATATTAAATCCGCCCCTAAATTTGGAGACGTTTTGCCTTAGCTGACACTAAAGCTAAAAAAAAATATGGACGCTGTATCTTAAAGTCTATGAGCCAACAAAATAAAAAACTTTTTGTCAGAGTTAGATACCAAGCTGAATTTCAAATTGAACACTCCAATGTAGAAGTTTTTTCGAGTGTTTTTCAAAAGCTTAGATCAAACAAATCAAAATCAATGCCACTTAAACTCTGTTATGAAAACTTGGAGTGTTACCAAGTAAAATTATAACGGAACTATTTTCCTTATAGGACTTTGCTTTAATTTTTTGCAGTGTTTTGAATTACATTGGCTGTAGGCACCGAGAAATTTTATTTATAGTAGCCAGTTTTCACCTGTTTCATTTTTTTTGTGGTACTGATCCCTTAAAATCAGTAGGATCACTTCATTATGTTACTTTTATAGCTCTTGCTGATAAGGTTCCACTCTTGACAGTCGGTGATTTTATGTTTTAACTTACTCATGGCAATAACGACCAGTTTTGTGCCATTTTTGTACTCTCTCAATGAATATCTGGGATAAACTTTTTAACACAGATTGTGAGCATTGTATCTCATCATGTGTGGGTTAGGGGACCAATTTGGTCACTATATTTTTCAATTGTTGAGTTGGATTTGTCTGACAGGCGGTAGTGTCATTCCAGATGCTCGTTTTGCGAGCATTCTTCTGTCTGCTTTCTCCGATGTAGTTTTGTATAGATTTTGTTCAGCTCGCGGACTAAATCACTCAGAATAAAATACCTCATATAATAAATTTCTGCATTTTATAAACCAATCTCAATCCTGATAGAACGTCATTAGACCATATAATCCGCTTTGAAACGTATGTGATCTAACAAAACCAAAATAAATAAAGCACAAAAGCCGATCTGCAAATACAAAAAATAGGTAGGTATTACGCGGTTGGTATTCAGTATGATTTTGGAAATGGGAAAATATGTGATTTGAGTTTTTACCACAATCACCACAGCAAAATCAGCTGAATGAGAGAATCGCCAAATCATGGTTTCCCAGAACACGACAAATAGCAGCTCTATTAATTGCAATAAGAAAAGGTAGAAATAAGCCTAGAATTAGAAAAAATTTCGGCTTGCTCTCGTATTCGATCTTGCGACCTAATAATTATGAGTCTCCTGCACTAACCAATGATCCACGCAAGCTTAATAGAGCACAAACACTAGCCACAAATAAAGCAGAGAACAGATATTATGAAATTTCGACTGCTAGATCGTGATTATAGCAAAAGTGCTACCAAATAAGTGAACACTTTCTAGTTAGAACACAGTTGAAAGATGCCCGAGAGAAAACGAGCCCGGCCTGAGGGAGGGCACGAAGTGCCCGATGGCGGCTCTTTTGCCCGAGGCTATCTTCAACTATGTTCTAACTGTTGAAAAATATGTTTTTGCTCTTTCTGAGGGAAAGAGCCCGAAAAATTGTGAAAGAGCCCGGAAAAGTGCGAGAAATTATGCAAATGATTTCTTTTTCATTCATGCGTTCTAATATTTCATTTTTCATTCATGCCTTGTCGTGAAAAAACATGTGTGAAAGAGCAAAAACATCTCTTCCTATTTTCAATGAATACTTTTATTTGCGAGTTAGGTTGGGAAAAAAGAAGGTTCGTAGTTACACTATGCTGAAATTTTAATTTTGTTTTGCATCTGCTTTTAATAAAGACCACCGTTTTTTGTCCGTGTTGAGAGTAAGCATTTTGTTCTTCAGCCACGTATTCATCTTGTGATAGTTTTTTACTTCGAATTCAGGAGCTCTCAGGCCATACGAAAATTTTTCTCAGTTATGACTCTTATCAAAGCCTACGGTGTCAAATGCATTGCTCAGATCCAAAAAAATAAATCCAAAAAAGTGCTTAAATCCAAAAAATGCTTTGCTTAAATCTAAAATTTGGGTTGCGTAATTACCGCGATTCTCATTGGTTTCTTTTCGTGGTAATGTTTTTCACGCCTATTTGTTATCTTTCTGGACGGGTTTTATCAATTGATTTATCAAGGTACTTTTGATGTTGCCTATTTGATACTTGTTCTTGTTTAGCTTCTTGATGCATTTCGAAACGAGTTCTATTTTGATGTATTCTATGTTTCTTGACTTCGAAAATTATAAAATTATGAAGGGTCGCTACATCTGCTAAGTGTTTTGAGGTGTCTGACTGTGTATTAAATTCAATACTATAAACAATTTTGTTGCTTGACGATGGCCCTTCTTCCGTCGACCATGATCAATGAACTAACCAGCCCCGCGATTCTATGTCTTGAGATTATTTTTTGTTGCCTCTTTATATCACGATAAATGGTTAGCTAGATCGTCCTTTGGGATATTCTTTCATCTAGCTCATGATTTTTTTGACTGTTGTTTGGCTGTTATTTCATTTGGCTGTTATAGAAACGCACTCTGGCTTACCGACTGACTAGTCTACAATTGCAGAAACTATAGTTTTGTTTCGCTCTTGACTCCTTGCAGATGGCCGTTTAGTTCTTATTGTTTCAGATCCGTTGCTTTTACTGGTTGTAACGGCTCCTCTATGATCATAACCATGTTGTTTTTGCTGGCCAATTACTGCGAGCCGTTCTTAGCCACAAAAGAGTTCTTCCTAACCATTCTCAGATGATCTCAGTTTTTCTAGGAGTCCTACTTGTTATTCTCCATCAGCGATCTGGACGTGCATAGTCTGGCCGCGTGTCCTCGCTTTGAGCATTTCGAACATGGGTCATGTAGTTATGTGGGGAGAGTTTCGTTTTCCCACATTTCACATTTGTAGCTTGCGCTCTCATATTTTTAGCGTTGTTTTGTGGGCCAGGCTTAGCTCTGGTGTGTATTTGGTTTTTAATTGTTCTTAGGTTTTCAATTACCTTAAGGTTTTTAGGCTTTCTCCGTGTTTTTGTCGCAGCATGAAGTCCTTCTAGATGTCATCATTATCTTCTAGATGTCATCACCGTGATCTTGTCACCAACCCATGCATCTTCTCTGGTTCCCTAGTCCGTCACGGAACGAGATGCTAGTCTACTAACTCGGCATAAGAAAGTTCGGGCTTTTTCCTATGAGCTAGCTCGTAGGAAAATTTAGTTTTTGACCACTGCGTTTCTGGAATTCCCATCTAATCGTAACGCAAATTATTCATTTGTACTCCGCCTTCTTCTCATTCTCGCCGTTGACCTTGCAATCTCGACTCCAATTCTCGGTCTTCTAATTGAGTGTTTGCTTCATTTTTATGTGTACTTCTCACAAGTAAGTTTGTTGGAACTATCATCACAGGCTTGTCTCCCAATAGAATAAGCAACCATCTGAACAATCTTCCTTCTAAATCATTTTAGGGGGAAAATGTTCACTTGGTTAAACGAACTATTTTTCAGCCAATCAGATTTAAGCATTGAACATGCAAGCCTTAAAGCTTGAATTTACCATTTAGTTTTAGAGGGGAGATTGTTCACCTGGTCTATTGAGGGAGGAGATTGTTCACATGGGCCAGAATAAGCATGTTAAGATTGCCTTCAGACTAAATTGCCTTTAGGAGTATGGGCATAAATTTGGAATAATTCAGCGGTGGTTATGCTCTTGGTTTTTGCCAATATTGGTTGAATCTGTAATTGGTTTGTCATGTTACCCTACGGCTGCCCAATTTCTTATTACAATATTCAGCAGAAAGACGCAAGCCGCGTCCTTACTACTGAAAGGTTGATAAGTCGAGAATCGAATATTCAGTACGTCTTCTCATTTTAGTTAACACAAACTCGAATGAGCAATCCTCACAAGCATACAAGCTAATGATTGTTACTAATAATTCCTAACGAAGGACAAAGCATTTTCGTATAGCTCAAAATTACATCCACGTACCCTTATTATTTCTCTTTTTCTTAAAGTTTCTTGTTTTTTATGAAGGCCTACCATTTGTGGCTCGACACTTTCTACCTTTACTGCTCACTTTTTACCCAAGAGAAAAAAGTGTCATAAATTATATTCGAAACAAAAATTTGACTCATTGCCAAATCAGTTTTTACACAGAGGCGAAGCGAAGCTTCGCATCATTTCCGATACGACGCAAGCGCAGCATCGCAAACTTCGCAGTTTTTTGAGATTTATAAGAAATGTTTACGGGGGAAAATTTCCCGTTTACAAGACAACTGCTCTTGCAAGTGTAATAAAATTCTCCAAAAAAAAATTCCGGGATTTTTACGTGTTTCAAGCACCACAAAAACAGTAGATGAGAAAATGTTTTAGATCAGAAAGCCTTTTCGCACCACTTACAAACCCATTATGTTGGAAACCGTGAATCAATCCCAACAGACTGTAAGGGAAGTTTCAACAAACTTAAAGAAAGGGGTAAAAATTTAGCTTTTGATTTTCAAAGAATAGGACATGATGTCATTTTACAGCTCTTGCAATTTCAAAATTTTATTATCCATGATACCTTTAAAAAAAACGATTGAAAAAAAATTGAAGCTACAAACTATTTTTCATTCGGCTGAGAAATCTATAAATCCACATTAGAAACTTAATCCACATCAAAAACTAAAAATCAATCAAGTTTTTTGACGCACCATATGCATACTTTTTCGGAAAGAGGTCTTTACGGCGGACAGACAATTCGGCCAAAGACAATTCAGCCAAATTGAAATTCAGCCTAAGACAATTCAGCCAGTTTTACAAAACGCTAGATTCGAAAAAAAAAAACGGAATGGGAGTTATTTCTTGGTTTAAGTTCGCTGGTGGGCGCGCTACGCTCGCGTTGCCGCTTTGCGGCGATAACTGGCTCTAAATTGCGTATAGAGTCTTACCCTCTGTTGGCAAGCTCGCTACAAGTTGGCGCGACTGCGGCGGTCACTATTATTGGCTGAATTGTCTCTGGCTGAATTGTCTCTCGCTGAATTGTCTGCATACTTAGGCTGAATTGTCTGATATTCAAATCTGCTGAATTGTCTAAATTTCAAATCGGCTGAATTGTCTTTGACCGAATTGTCTGGACGCGGTCTTTACTACTCTTTGGCGAAATAATTTGAGGCGAACTTTCTCTACTCAACCGTGGAATAATTTATTAAAGCTTGAACCACTTCCAAAGTTTTTCCTGAAAAAGTCACATTAACTGAAGAAGTGTCTTCGCTTCATTCAGTCACATTATTAAAGACAGAATTAATGTAATCAGAGCACGCCTAAAGACTGACAGCTTTTAAAAACTGCATGATAAATCATTCGAAAATCCGAAAATCGAATAGCATATGTTTTTTCGAACTTCAGAAAACCCCCCTTTGAAACAAATCTCAGGTCTTATGTAACGCATATAAACTCAGCCAATTTGTGAATTTAATTTGAGACATTGATACAAGAAACGCAATAACAAACGAAAATTTGTTCTATTTTCATTAGAAGTGAAGTTGTTTCATTTTTGTTCAGACGACCCCCAAATATGAGAAGAAAACTTCGCCAAGGATGTTTTAAAGCAAAATCAGGTGCCACAAATAAAAAAGATCAAATGGCGTCACATAACATATCATTTTTATAAGCTGTCAAGCAAGATTCCAATTACAACAAAAATCCGAAAATACGCAAAACTACATTTCAAGCACCAGGCAAAATGAAACGCTGTAACACAAAATAATGCTAAAAGAACATATAAACCAGCTGAAAGCTCTTTGAATTTCCAGAATATTTGAGACGTGACACGTAGCAGACCAAACAAACCCATTTTGAGACAGTTTGAAGAATCGTTTGAAGAATCGAGCGAGAAAAGTTATCGAGTAGAATAGCGTTCATTATATCAAAATCCATCATTCAGGCAAAAACTTGATTTCATAACAGGAAAACTAATTTTGGACTCTTCGTTTAGCCTTTCTTGCCAATCAAAACTTAAGAGAAGAAAATATTTTAAGCAAGAAACTTTTTTGAAAGCTTTTTCATTTTGTTTTGGTTGTTATTTCTTTTTCGAAGACAACTGTTGTCGGCTGACTAATTCATTACCTTTCAACGTGTTTGTATAGTTCTCTAAGCACACCACTCACGTTGAAACTCAAAGGAAATCTTAATTCGCAACTTTTATATGATTGTTGTCGGAAGATTTTGTGCTACTTGCTGTGCCATCCTTGTTACTTTCAATTTTCATTCCACTTTGTTGCATAAAAAATTATGGATGGCTCACGAAACGAACCGCCTCGCACAAGCGCATAAGAAAGAAAGAAATTACCGCTACTCCACCAGTAGTTGAAATAAAACTTCAAAACATAGCCAACAGACGTTTGCAAAAGTTTCATTGAACGCAAGAAAACAGAAATTTTTTTTGAAAATTTCAACTTTCGAATTTCAAACTTAACACGATATGGCCACACCCCTCTTTGAATTTCAAGGCGAATTTATGTTTGACACTTTCATTAACTCAATTGCCTAAATTTGTGAAAATTGGATAATTAAATATTTCCTCCGCTGAGAAATCTTAAGTTTTTATTCCACTTTCGGAACTGAAGGTTTTTTGCGCCATTTTCACGTTCGTATTTGGATAGTGCAATTTACCTAAACTTCAGCAGATGAATTTAAATTGAACTCAAAAAGTGCATATATTCCTAAGTGCATTTATATGTATGAATGCACCTCTGTAGTTATTAGATCATAGACTTTCTGCTGAAAAACAAGAATATCACCGAGACCTATATAGGAGTATTCACTAAGTTCATGGACTCTTAACCAGCGTATTCCGAAAATAAAGGTCAGTTCCCAATAGTCAAAAACAAAAAATTCATCCAGGTAGTTTCGAGTTTGCGGCTCCAGGTAGTTTCGACAGGATTTCATTTCAAGCTTATCGGGCTCCTCATAACAACCCAACCCAATTACAACCCACTCCATTAGTTAAACAAACTCCATTACAACCCACACTTTGCTGTTTTTTGAAAACTATACCTTAGTTTACAATCAAGCAAAATTGGGCGCATCACTACATTAACCACATAAACTGATCTTGATTTGGATTGGATTGTACGTACCCTTGGACAGTATGACAAGCAGGGGCGCATTTAGGATTTTTTGGAGGGTGCGCGGATTTCCAAAAACTTTGTCGACCTTGTTTCTGTCGTCGACCAAATTGATTTTCTCAACTCGACCAAAGCTCGTTTTGACCAAATTTTCTGCGCCGTATGCCAAATTTTGAAGGTTTTGGAGGGTGCGCGGATTTCCAAAAACTTTGTCGACCTTGTTTCTGTCGTCGACCAAATTGATTTTCTCAACTCGACCAAAGCTCGTTTTGACCAAATTTTCTGCGCCGTATGCCAAATTTTGAAGCTTATAGAAAAATCGAAGGTTACGTCAGCCAAATTTGGATATCTCAAAATAGTAAGAAGGGGGCTGTGGCTCGAATCCTAGAGGCGAGGGGGCGTCCAAGGAACGGCCACCCCCCCCCCCCCCCCCCTAAATCCGCTACTGATGACAAGTCCATATAGTATATCTTTTTTTACTTTGAACCGTCTAGGACCAAAATGAGGCTAGTCATTGCACAAACTTATGGTGGAAAAAGATTGACTAAAAATGAATTTAACGCTTAAGTGCCAGCTGAACATAAAATGCATAGTATAGTAAGATGTTCTGTTAATTTTGACCGCAATTATGCAAGGAACAACCCACTATTTATTTCGCATCAAACCATTTTATCACTAATTTATCGCATAAATTCATAGGTGGCTTTTCGATATACTATTCAATCACTCACTGCAAATAGATTAGCAACAAACAAACGGACACTCTTTGATGGTTAGAACACTTGGTTAAGATCTCAATTTATTCAGCTTCTCCATTTTCTCTTCTAGAAAACCATTTGAAACTCATCTCATTTCCTAGTTGTGTTGACGGTAAAGAAATAGAGAACTTGAATTTCAATAAATTTCAAATTATTTCACTTTTTTCACAAGTCTTCCAAACGCATAAAACGCGGACACAGCAGCAGAAAACGAATTACAAGAACTTCATAAGATGGTAATTAAATTCAATTGCAAAGTAATCATTGTTCTTTTAGTTCTTGTAAAATGTGTGTTACTTTGATGGAATTGGGATACGTGTTGTGGATTCTCTAAATTGTTTATCTTACGTATCTGGTTCGCTGTGATTTCAAAATAAACAGGGTTTTCGAAACATTTCTGCGACAAAATCATTAGACTGAGCATATTTGACAGACAAACAAATCATGGAATCAACTAACAGCTACGCAAATGTGCAAAACACTTCGGTGTCAATTTGTCGATCTGATTTTAATTCAACGTGTCGAATTGCACTGTTTGGTCTCGAATAGAATATACACGATAAAAACATGGATATAGCAAGCTCTTACCACTCAAAACGGCAAAAATCGATCATTCCAGTTTCAAAAACGGACAATTTAACTAGGTTTTTATGTTCAATAGTTTCGCAAACCATGTCTAATAATTCCTAATTCTATCTTACAGTTCTCCAAATTTGGATTCCAATGACTTTAATGATTATCCTGAAAATTCATGGGTGGAAAGTATATATAATGTGAAGGGGGAAGAGCTTTGCTAGTCAAGTAACTGTAAACTAAAGTTCTAGTCAGCAGTGCGATTCGCAATTTGGTGATTAATATTCTGAAAAAAGTTACGGTCGAGAACAGTAGTATAGTAGATTCATTCGATGTCGGGTGGGGGCGGGTGGGTTAGAAAACTAGTCGGTCGAGTCTAACCTGCTGTTGACCTGACGGCCGAATGTTAATACTAGATGGAATATTCACAACTAAACATCATGAAAGTATTATTACTCTAATAACATCAACTCAAGTTCAGCCGGTCTATGGCCGTTGATAGGTGTTTCAGTTTTTGTTTTTTTTTACGGATATTCTGTCCATGTAGTATCGCCTGTTTCGTGTTTATTCCTCCTGTTTACTTCTTTTTGGCGGGGTTTCTGGGTGGGGTCACCGGTCGACCAGAATTCATTCCTCCGTAACTGTACTTCGCTTTCCGCTCGGAGGGTTTGAGGATCTGGAACGAACACATTAGTGTCTCGTCGACAGACATCATTCCCCCTGCGTTGTCGAACTCGCCACAGTAGTTGGGGGCACTGAACAGCGTCACTAGTTGTCGTTTGGCGAAGAATTCATATCCGTCCTCTACTACCTGATGTGCCCGACATATCAGGTCAAGGTCGTGTTTGTTCAAAAACTTGGACACAACATCTGCTCCGAAAGTGAACGAGACTCCTCTGTCGTTCTCACCCCAACCCTGTACGTCCTTGTCTGGATCACTCCACAAGAGGTCACAGAGGAGTCCAGTGTCCGGGACGTCAGTGGGTCGCATGATGCGTCTGATCTGTTCCATGGACTGGAGGTCGGGCGATAGTCCTCCGTGACAGCAAAATATCTTCTCGTCAATGATGGCTGCAATTGGCAGACAGTTGAAGCAGTCTGTGAATGTTTTCCACAGTTTGATGTTATATCTAAAACAGATAATGAATTAATATCTCTGAATGGCAAGTTTGAATGACACCGTATTCCGGTAAACAAGAATTGGCATTACTATGCAAGTAACAATGTTATTGGAATCTAAGTAATTAAAAAGAAACCCCATACTTTTCCAATTTCGGACATTTTTTGGGAGAGGTGTGGGGAAAGAAACCAATAAATTATTACAATATTCGCAATGGCTATGACTGACCTAATTTATTACATAACAAATTACATAATAAAATAAGAATAGCCGGTTGCAGTGCAAGTAGCACAGAATGTTCCGACCTTATTCTTAAAAAAACTACAAAGAAGTGTTTTTTTTTCTCTTCAAATCAGCGTCGTTTTTTAAATGCGAAAACTACACAAAAACAACACAGTGTGTGGAATAATGCGAAAACTACACGAACGCGTAGAAAGTAAGTAGGTCAATTAGGCAAAATTGGCTTCAAAGAGCAGACAAAAAGTAAAAAAAAATCAAAAACTTGTTCTAGTTTTTTTGCCTTATAACTGTTTAGAAAAATTTAGGGCCACGAAAACACTAATCGAATTAAAATTAATTTTCTGTTTATAAAAAATCAATTTCTCTGAGCCTGAAGGTCCATTTTTCCGATGACGAACTTTTTTCGATGGTGTTACTCGAAAGCTCAAAAACACTGGGACAACGTTTTTCTCAACACTCGGACAATTTTTTGAATTTTTTTTAAAAAAATGTCGTTCGAATCACGACTGAAACGGCTTTATTATGATATATCATTCGACCCAAACCAATGATTACTTCAGGTACCTCATTTTGCCTTGAAAAAACTGAAACAAAACACCCGAATACAAAAATCCTCCCCATTTTCAATGGTCGGAAAAATAGCATTTTTTCAACAAAAACTTTTTTGAATATCGATTTTTATAACTTCAAAACAACGATAGAAAAATATAACAAATTTTATATGATATCAGCCTATTTTGCTTGTTGAAACTAATTTGAACACACTCGAATACAAAGCTCCGTCACTTTTCATAGTGGGAACAAAGCATAACTTAAAGTCACGAGGTATCATGCTTCGATTTTTGTAGGCTTTGTACACAGACACTAAAAACTATCACAATTTTTGATACAGAGGCGAAGCTGAGCTTCTCGCCTTTTGCGATACAAAACAAGAAAGCCGCCAAGTCGAAAAAAATGCAAAAAAAAACATTAAATAATGTCGATAAGGCTAATTTTGAAACAAAAGCGTGCCAATACAATAAAATAAAAAAAATAGCATTGAAGGAGTAATATCAATGGGTAACAAATCCGGAAATACTTCAGCAGAAACCCTTTCAGCCTAAAAAATTCAACGAAGCTAAAAAAATTATCACGTCCCCCTAGCCCTCAAACTTTACTTTTTTGTGTATGTGCTGGTTAAATGAAACAGTATGAGGGCACTAAACCGATATATAACAGACCAAAACCTATTAGGCCGAAAAAAAAAGGAAAATAAAAAAAAACAAAAAAGCCGAAAAAATTCAAAACATTTCAGACTAATAAAAAGTTATGAAGTGCCCTTCGCCCTCAAAACACACACAAAAACATTTCGCTTATCGGTCGACGCAATATGAGGCGACCAAGCCGATATGAGATAGGCTGAAACATAGTAGGCCGAAAAAAGTTTTAAAAAAGCAAAACAAATGACTTAGTAAAATTACAACCAACAAAGACAAAATTTCGAACTGGAAGGATATTTCAAGTGCCAACAAGCACAACATATATCTACAGCGCTAAAATTCTTGCTAAGAGGCTTACAGGAAATGAGTCCAGACGAAAAGAGTTCAGGTACCAAAGTTATTTATGGGAAAAAATCTAGGACCCGATTGCTATACCCTTGCTTATCGCAAGGGTAGAAGCAATCAAATTGGAAAACGCCGATTTTTCCGCACAGTGGACAAAAAACCAAATCGATGAATCAATCAGGATACCTTCTTTTGCACTCATCGTAGAAGCCGTATATTCTGTTGATGCTGGCGCACTCGTGGTTACCTCTCAGCATAAAGAAGTTCTCTGGGTACTTGATCTTGTATGCAAGCAGCAAACAAATAGTCTCGAGGGACTGCTTTCCTCTGTCTACGTAATCCCCTAGGAACAGATAGTTTGATTCCGGGGGGTAGCCTCCGTACTCGAATAACCTCAACAGGTCCGTGTACTGTCCGTGGATGTCTCCGCAGATCTTCAGAGGAGCTTCCAGTTCCAGCAAGATCGGCTGGCTCAGAAATATCTCTCTGGACTTGAGACATAGACCTCGAATCTCAGCTTCCGACAACTGCACCTGTTTACCTGGCCTGGCACCTCTCACTTCCAGCAGCCGTGTGATGATGCTATCAACATTTATAGCATCTGGGTTGTCAGACATCTTCGGATCTGAAAATATATCACATTAGCATTTTCTCAATTCGGTAAGTATACATAATAGTAATAACTACATCAGCTCATAATATCTGCACCAAATCACGCAGAAGATCATGATGGTTTTGTGTTGTTATGTCGATAGTACAATAGTCTGACCAACATCTAATATATGACTCATTATTGGCATATCAAGAAGAAACTAAACATGTTCTGTTTAATAAGGTTGATTGATAGCAACTTTCAAATTCGGATTGTGTTTTCTTCTCATTTTTACACACAAAAAAGTATTAATCCATTTTTTTCGATCAAACGCCTCAAAAATCAACCCTCATAAATTAACGCTCCAATGCGTCTTGAACTATTGTTCAATACTAAATCTGCATGAAAAAAATAACGCATTTTCAGTAAAGCATTCGTTACAAATGGCTAGTGACAAGCTTTACAACCAAGATATGATTGAAAAACAATCTTAATTGACCGAACGATTTGCTTTAGTTTGAGATAACACAGCCACAGTTCAGAGTTAGTAGAACGCGCCAATAAAGAAACGAAAACTTTATTTGTCAATTGAACTTAAAAAAATTCAATTTCCTTGCAAAAATTTTTCAGCAATATGCAAAGTAGCGCAACCTGCATAAATAGATATAATTGAAACAACCAATATAATCACTGTGAAAAATTACTACCAAGGATGTAAAAGATTCAATATATTTTTCTGATAAAATTAGGTCGATTTTGGAAAATCGTCGTTACTCCACAGCGCCGGCAATCTTCAAGGTTTAAATACACTTTCAAATATTGTTTTTAATCTTCTAATTACAAGCTAGATGAAGTACAGTGATACAATGAAGAACCACTAACAAAACATTGGACCAAATAGTTTCTCTCAAATAATTCTGGGTTTAATTCCCGCTCGGGTCAATGCGCCCGTTACGCGGTAATATAAGAAGCCATATAGCGCGTTAGTTGTCACAAATCGGCCATTTTTGAACCGACACATAACCTTTCAAAAAACAATCGCAAGTGAAAATAATTTTAATCAGGGCATCAATATTTTCATCAGGGAACAAAACCTCTATCCAAAATCATAAGTTAAAAAGCCGAAACCAATCTAAAACACGACACCTATCAAAACTATTTGGTCACATTCTTCGAAAGTCAAAATAAGAAAAAAAAACTATAGCAAGCCATTCTAACTCCCAGAACATTGGATTAAATATATACTTTAACTGTTTACAATCTTCAGTTGAGCTCACAAGGATGTGTATACAGACTATCTAAACGCATGTTAAATTTGAAATAAGTGGTGCGCTGGGGGCTGAAAAAATCTTACGCTCGAAAAAAAATCTGAGAAGGGTGACAAACTTTATTACGAAACGCTAGCAAATTGGCAAATAGTCAACTTTCAAAACTTTACGAAAAATAATCCCAGTTTAATAATTTTGGATCAACCGTACAATTTTTCCCCTATGAGCTCTCTACCGTAGAATCCCCCCAGCCCCGTAATAATTTTGAAAAGTTATTCCGTATAAAATATGCATTTCAAACAATCGTAAATAATATCATTGCTTGAGAAATTTTTTATGTGGAATTATAATATACTGTTATCTGCCCAAAAACTTTAAACCCCGAGATCGATGGGTGGATTGTACAGTTGATCCATAATTTTTTATTTAAAAAATTTTCATAAACGTTGAGTTTTTCTCAGAAACTAAGCCTGTTAATCTAGTCTACAATCATGGTAACAGTAAACAGTATGTTATTTTGACCCAGTTAATAATAATCCACTCATATCAATATTATGAACCAAAATGATAGCTCTAAATGATAGTAAACAAAAAACTAGCCAATAGTTGCAAAAGGGCAGACGAATTCAGGGAGCAGATATTTTGGAATTTAACAAAAAGATCTTAAATCATACTGAAACGGATTCTATTATACACACAGAGGCAAATCTTCGCGAGCACTAGCGAGAACAAAAACAGCTGTATTAAGTGCAATAAGAAAAAGTAGAAATAAGCCTCGAAACGGCTACGTCTCGGATTCCATCTCAGACCGAACGCGACCTAGAGATTATGTGTCTCACGCTCTAACCACTGAGTTACGGACGCATAATGAATCACAGCACTAGCCACAAATAAAGCAAAGAACAGATGCTATGAAATTTCCAATGCTAGATCATGATTAGAGCAAAAATGCCACCGTATAAGTGAACGCCAAACCATCAAAAATAACGAAAAATAAACTAACACAGACGCGAAGCTTCGCACCACTTGCGATACAACACAATCATAAAAAAAACGTAAGTAGTAAAAAATATAAAAATGTTAAAAACTTGGTGAACCAAAACGTTCGCATGTCTCGATGAAGGACACCTAGGGCCTAGCTAAAACTGGAAGTACGTGTTTGATAATTTTTGTATTTGTTATACTGATGCGGGATGAAATGCGTTATTTCAAAAATTGGACTTTACTCAAAACCTTAGTTGTTGCTCTACTACTCTTCTCACTTATTTTAGTAGAGAAACAAGTAAGGTATTGGGCAGAGTAAAAAGCTTTAAGATTTTGGAATTTTTCCAAAGACGTAACATTTCTCTTACAATAACAAAAAGAAGCTGCTTCTGCAGGAAAAACTCGCGCAGCAGCTCCTTTCGATTGAACTTTTCATTTCAGATTTAGAAGGGTAGTTTTCAAGAAAATTCAAAAAGTTTCTAAAAAAAAAACAGTCAAAGTTCAAAAACTTGACGTTACGAAATCCGTATTTTTTCCTGCTAAATGCAGGTCGTTGGTGGTAAAAAGAGATGATTCTCAAAATAGGGTTTCTCAATTGAACGCTTAACCTGAAGATTGGCACGGTAATTCTCGAGTAAGTCAAAAAATTTCCAAAGAAATCAGAAAGTTTCCGAGAATCATAGCTTTTGTTTGAAAAAATTTGCGCGTACCCGCTCATGCGGAGGAGATTTACGCAACCTGAAATTTCAATTGAACCCAAAAGCCCAGGTTTGGCAAGGCAGTTCTTGAAAAAAGTTTCAACTTTTTGACTATTCTGAGGTCCATAATTTTTCTGTGAAACCCAAAATCTGATTGAACACAAAATCTCCGATATGTGAAGGTACTTTTCGGTAAAATGCATAAAACTAGGGAAAAAACGACTTTTTCGACGACGATAACTTGTGTTAAAAAATTTGGAGTGACCTCTATTGCAGTAGAGCTTCTTACTACCCCTTACCTCCATTGTACCCACACTGCAGGTTTGGGAGCTTGGTTTTCGAGAAAAGTCAGGAAGATTCAAAAAACGCTTTAAAAAAATCTTAAAATTCACTATTCCGAGGGCCATAATTTGATGGGTAAAAAAAATTTACACATAACCCGCTTTTGGAGGGGAGCTTTTCAATTCTGTGCTGTTGATTGAAACCAAAATCTCAGATTTGGTAGGATACTTTTTCAGAAAACGAAAAAAAAAATCAAAAACACCGGTCAAATATTCCCCCACGTACTTTATCGAAGGCTGTAGACAAAGGGGTAAAAAAATCTTGTTGGAAAATCGATAGAAAAAAACTACATTTTTTGCAAAAAGTGATAAAATTTTCCACAGTTAAAAAAATAGAATAAAAAACCCAATCCCATACATTGTCATATTAACTGTTTTTATCAAACAGGAATTCTAGACAAATCGCCAAACAAGATAGTTGAAATCCAAATTAGCAACTGAACAAAACATACGAAGCGGAAACAAGGTCGAAAATCTCCGAGCAGACACCAATCAAGCCGAAAAAAACTAACTTCAGCTTTCAAGTCCCGCCTGAAAATACCGTAGTAACTAGTGCCCAACTCATAAATAAATTTGAATTTTCATGAAATTGTACATGTCAGCTGCATAACAGCATAATAGGTGATTCAACTGATTTTGGTAAACTAGTTGTAAGCCCGAAAAAAACTTAATTTCCGATTGGATAACGATTGCTAATCGCAAGCGTAATAACATAAAACGAGAAAAACAAACTTCTTTCATAATCGCGTCCAAAAGCGACAGTCCCATTGATGATTACAGACAATAAAAAAACCTTAGTTAAATTTTTTGAAGCTAGATCTTGCTGTCTCGAAAGAAAAGGGTTTTTGTTGGACACTCAACTATTTTAAGTACAGATTTATAATTTATTGTTACAAAACAGGGTTCTTGGGAATTTTTAATTTCACCATAATTTTACTAACAAACGTAACTTAACGACATTGCGATTAGAAACAAACTACACTTAGACTATTATACTAACATGAGCACTTGCTTTCATTTTGCACTGGAAGGGTAGCGTTAATATTTAGTGTGACCAATCATTAAGTACAAACTAAATCTTATTTACACTCTCGTTGACTTTCAGGCTGTTTCCTCCTTTATTTCATTCTCAGGCTCATCCACGATATCATTCATTTCAAGAGCAGAAGGTTCCGAATGCAGTCTGCGTCTGATAGGTTTGAGGAAAGTAAAGCCACGCTTGCGATGTCCGTACGTCAAATCACCCGGACAACTAGTATCTGAATCATGTCTCGCTCGTCCAAATCGTGCCTCAAATGGCTCTGGCGGAACAATAGTAACTGTGATTCCACTGGCATGCTTTAAAACATAGTCGCTCGTCTGGCCAAGTACAGCTTGAAGAAACCTGTTCTGTTCTTTCCCAGACATAATTAACAGTTTGGCCCCTTTTTCTTTTGCAAAACGGATAATATTAACTCCAGCACGCTCGCCATCTCTGGCGTAGAACGTTGCGGTAACGTCATTGTCTGTCAAAAACTTTTCCAAATTGTCTCGTAAGATTTTAACTTCGCTTTGCTTGCGCATAATTTGTCTTCGCATTTGCTCCGCATGGAAAAGGCCAGATGTTCCACCGATGTTTGTACTTGGATCAAAATGCACTGAATGGAATAAATATAAGTGATCCCGATCTTTCTTGCCTTCGTTTAAGTAATGGTTGATAGCTCGTTTGGCGGGATCCAGTTCATCAACTGCAATCACT